ACTAAGCAAAGTCTGTCTCCCTCTTGTTCAGCTCCCTGCCCTCAGGTATTTACACCCATGGATAAGTATCCTTCTTAGCCTTCTCTTCTCCTGTCTGGACAAGCAGTCCTTTAATAATCTTGGTCCTTTGCTTGACTTCTTCCACCACGTGCATGTCTCTTTCATACTGACAAACTCTGGGTGTGTCTCACCTGGGCTCAATAGAGTCTTGACTCCAGTTTTCACAGATACTACTAAAGAAGGGAGTGAAAGCAAGACTTTCACCCTTTGCTCAGATCCAGTCTCTGCACTGAGAGTAGCTGAGTGTGTTAGCTGATGATTAGGGGTTCCTTCAATGACTGATGAATTCAGACTGCTCTCTATTGGAAAAGGACTTGTATCACAAAAGTCACTGTTCCAAGTGCTGCCTTTTATGGAATCTTAACTAAGAGGCCAAAGGCAAAAGATTTCAAGAGAACAGGCAGTCCTCCCTAACTAGATGATGGAATTGAATTGTTTGGTAGAGGAGAATGCCTCTAAAGAGCCTACTTGCAGCAATTCTCACAGCATGTCACACCTCCACACAACTTCAAGAGCTCTCTTGGAAGAAGGAATGACTTGATCAATTACAGAGGCACCTATGGCTACTGGCAAAACAAGTCATTTCCTAATACAGTGAGAAGTTGGTATGTGTTTCCCAGTGAGCTCCCAAGCATGTGCCATGGTAAAAATCACAGCTCAATTTGCCTGCACTATTGTTTCAGTCCCATATAGAGGATGATAGACCTCAAATCCATTCATCTCTGCAAATAAGCAACATTATTTAGTAATGAAACAGGGTGGAGAACTGCCACAGAGGAACCACGCAAACTTCTCCCAAATTTGAAAGAAAAACATCGTATAAAATGGCCATGTTGGTATTTTGCTGCACACCAGCACAGAGAACAATCAACCAAACAAAACATTTTCCTGACCCTAACAGAAAGCATTTGATTCACATTCTCAATTCAAGGTATCCTTTAAAACGTGACAAGGAGGCTGAGGATCCAAACGGGGTGTGAATCACAAGGGAGCGCGTGAAGAAACACACAGCGGAGGACGCGCAACACCGCTGCCTTCATAGCATTGCCCTCTCTATTGCTGGCAATAACCGCGATCGCAGGCCAAAGGCGCTGTCCTGCCGGGACACAGCCCTGTGCAACCAGCGTCCCACCAGCGTGCTTCGTGCCCCACCGAGCCAGCGGGGCCGGCCCCGCCGCTCCCCGGCCCCGCCGCTCGCGTGGAGCTGCGTGAAGCTGTGCTCGCGTGGAGCTGCTCTTGTGTGGAGCTGTGCAAGCGTGGAGCTGTGCTTGTGTGGAGCTGTGCTTGCATGGAGCTGTGTGATGTGTTCGCATGGAGTTGTGATTGCATGCAGCTGTGTTTGCGTGGAGCTGTGCTCGTATGGAGCTGTGCTTGCATGGAGCTGTGTCGAGCTGTGTTCGCATGGAGCTGTTCTTGTGTGGAGCTGTACTCGTGTGAAGCTGTGCTTGTGTGGAGCTGTGCTTGCCTGGAGCTGTGCTTGCATAGTAGAGCTGTGCTTGCATGGAGCAGTGCCTGCATGGAGCTGTGCCTGCATGGAGCTGTGCCTGCATGGAGCTGTGCTTGCATGAAGCTGTGCCTGCATGGAGCTGTGCCTCCTTGGAGCTGCGCTTGCATGGAGCTGTGCCTGCATGGAGCAGTGCCTGCATGGAGCTGTGCTTGCAGGGAGCTGTGCCTGCATGGAGCTGTGCCTCCTTGAAGCTGTGCCTGCATGGAGCTGTGCTTGCATGGAGCTGTGCTTGCATGGAGCTGTGCTGCCCTCCGGCGGCCGCCCGCCGCACCCGCCCGGGCCGAGGCCGCCCGCCCGGGCACCGGGACACACAGGGCGGGAGCAGCGCGGGGCTCGACGCTGGAACCCGCGGAAGGAACCCCGGGGCGCAGCGATGTGAGACACCGGCATTTCGCGGTGTCCTTGCCCGTGGCAGGGGGTGGGACTAGGTGATGGCTAAAAGATCCCTTTCCAACCCAATCCGTTCTGTATCATTTATCTTTTCTTTTTCTTTAAGCTTTCCTTAAACATTTTCTTGCCATTCTGCTCCCCCAGTTCCTAAACGCTCTCTCCCTTGGGTGTTGAGAAGCGGATGTGCAGCATATGGCTTCGCGGAGAAGATGTAGGGAGTCAGAGGAACCGAGACTCAGTTCTGCTCGCCAGGGAGCTGGAGCGAGAGGCCGAAGCTCTCACCTGCTTGCACTAAAGTCTAGGCCAATATTCCTACATACCTCTTTTGTAAAATTATTTCAAGATCACATATTTTTACAGCATCATCTATATAAAGATATAAATAGTTAGTACTATAAATCAAAGCCCTGTAAAAAAGTGATTTAAACACTCCTAGGCAAGAACATTATCATGAGAAACTACTGGCGCTTCATACTACTTAACTCAGATATTTTTAAGCACTGGGAAAGCTGTTCTGATAGCAACATTCATTCACAACTTCATATTTATTGAAGTCACTAAGGAACAACGAGGAACAACGTATGTCATTGGCTCTGCATTCAAGATCATAAATCATTGCTGTAAAACTCGAACACAGCTAAGCACCAGATATAGAGTCATTGAACCATAGACTGGTTCGGGTTGAAGGAGACCTTTAAAAATCATCTAATCCAATCCCTGATGGGTCTCAAGGGAATGTTGAAGAGAGGAATTACAAAGAACTGTCCGAGAAGATCCTACTCGATTGATAGTAGGAAAATGATTCATTGTTTACATAGAAAATTCTCCCTGGGGCAGCATTTCTGGTTTTGTTAGGTGGGAAAACATGTAAACTGAAATTTCTAAGGACCAGTTTACAACTCAGACACTGCAAATGTGAACCAGGCACACACAGAGGGTTCAACATGCACCCTCTGTGGCAATGAGCTACAGAACCAATATTGATTTCAGTGGAGGGATTAATTCCATAGAGCTTTTATATGGATATATGAAGAAAACAAGTGCTTCATTGATCCATAACGTTGCCTGAAAGACGTGCACTATCTCACTAGATCTGATAATTTAATAACTGAGTTTGGAGTGTTACTTTGAAATACAGTCACAGCAGTATATACTGAAATCATTTATTGTCACGTGTAACATGCACATGCTGCAAAACGTTGCATTCATCCTAAGGAATCCCCAGGAACTGGGACTATACAACACTAATTTCATCTTTCATGCAGTTCAAAATGCACCTGAAAACAGTACACTATATATGTGACTTGAACATGTAGCGAGTGTAATGCTCCTATCATTGAAGCTGTGAACCAATGCATCCATTTTTCAGGAATAGCATCACACACAATCACAAGGAAACCTCGAAGTTATTGCAGGTCTCCTGGAATATACAATACTGATATATAAACCATTGATATCAAATAGCGAGGATGTAAAAAGAGAGTTTATGTTGGGGATATAAACCTACCGCTTCTGCATTTAAGAGCTATGATGGTTTAGGTCAGGTCCACTGGAAGAGGAGTACAGGTAAGATGTGGGTATGTAGGGGTGTGTGTGTACATACGTACGCTAATACACGTGTGGTGCAAACAGCCTATACACCGACAAGCCTCGGCCGTGCTGGGTGCCCCTGCCCCACGGTCACACACCTGCACGCCCGGGCTGTGTCAGGGGCTCCCTCTCCCCGAGGACAGTCGGTGCCGGCCGGGCTCGCCCGGGACCTTGCCCCGGGGGCCTCCCGCTGGGGGCTCCTCGCGGGAGACCAGAGCGGGGAGCTCGGGGAGCCGCTAGAGCCTCCCGGGGCTCGACGTGTGCGGGAGCGGCCCCTTGCCGGGAGGTGCCCGCCGGGTGCCCGAGGGTCGGGCGCGCCCCGCACACCGCCCCTCGCTCCCGGCCGCGGGCTCCGCGCGGGGGCGGCGCGGGCGCGGCGCTGCGGCGGGGCCGCGCCTGCCAGCGGCCGGGAGGCAGCGCCGCCGCTCCCGCTCCGCTCCTGCTGCCGCTCCGCAACTTTCGGGCAAACACTGCCCCCTCGTCCTCGTCCCCCCGCCGGCGGCCGGTAAGCGCCGGGCTCCCGCGCCCGGCCGGGCGGGCGGAGGGCGGCGGGGAAGCCCGGCCGAGCCCCCCGGGCGGGCACCGCCGCGCACATGGCCGCGGGAAACTTCGGCCGGCGGGCGGGGCGGGGGCAGTCCCGGGGTGCCGCGGGCGCTGGGAGGGGGAGATGGGAAGGAGCGGCGGAGCGGGCACGGGCAGGGGCGGGCAGGTGGCAGCCTCCGCCGAGCGGAGCGGAGCGGAGCGGTGCGCGTCGCCCCGGGCGCAGTGCGCGGGCGGCGGCGGCGAGTGAGCGACGGTCGCCGGACAGGTGCGGGCGGGCCGGGGCTGCGGGAAGGGAGCGGCGGCCCCGCAGTGCCCGGTGCGGAGCGAGCGGGACCCGGTGCGGGGCAGCGCGGGCCGGGCGGGAGACCCCGGGGGGCGGCTTTTGGTTCGGGCGTTTTGCCTTGCGGCGCCGGCGGGGAGGGAGAACAAGTTGCTGAGCGATGTAGCACGGGGGCACAGGGTTCAGGTGGAAAATCCAGGCAATTCACCTCTGGGTGTGTTGTTGGGGGTTGTTTTGGGGTTTTTGTTGGGTTCGGGGTGGTTTGTTTGTTTTTTGTTCCGTTGGCTTTTGGGGGGTTTTGTTGTGGTTTTGGTTTTTTGTTTGTTTTTAATAGGGCACAGAGGAAAACGTTAGTGCACAATGCTGAAATTGGTGATCTGGTCGCTGAGGCAGGTATCCAAAAAGCAGCAGTCGCTGGAGCAGCTACATTACTGTCGTTCTTCGTGCTAGCGTGAGGTTTATGTGTCTTTGCGAGGAAGGTCACTTTTTACCCTCTCCCCCCCCCCAACAACCCACCCTCCTTTTGCTAAGCCGTGCATCAGCAGCATGAATTCCAAGAAGCAGTAGGTGTTTCTTGGCATTTCAACTGGGATTTTGGAAAGGGAAGCTGGGTATTTAATGGGAAAAAATTGCGATGGAAGGAAAGGATGCGGAGGCTGCACACAGCCCTGGGTTTGCAGGCATGTGGAAGTTGTTGAAATAGGTAAAGGGTTGAAATTGGCATTTGGAAAATGGTGGCTATTTTTTTAGTTACTTATACCACAGATGAATATAGGGAAAAGCTGGGCCACAAAGAATTTTTCGTGTTTTGCAGTTTGCTGACAGCAGAAGGTAAAACGTGTCCTTGAAGATATACAATTTTACATAAACAGCTGATGTTTACATAAGCCTAGATAAGTTTGTGAAAAACGCAGATAGCAAAAGATGCGATGTTAGCTGAACTCCGCTATCCTGCTCTCCGTCCGTGCAATAATTTATCAATTTTTTGTATTGTTGCAGTGTAAGAACAAAGTGAACAGCTGCACCTTCACCAAAGCAACCACCTGCGTTCCTCTTCTCCTCTGGAATGGACAATGGGATGGTCTCTGACTTTATCATGATCAAAAACTTCTTCCTCTTCTGCGTTTCCATGAGTTTAGCCAGCCACTTCGGGTGAGTTGCCAGTTGCATTTGAATTTCTGCTATGGCTTTTTTAAGGAAATGAGAAATCTTGGCTCTGTATGGTATGGAGCAGCTGAACAAAACAAGCGAGCTTTGCGTTTCATCTTAAGGTGCTGGTGTCAGGGGGAAGGGAGTCATTTGCTCTCCTGTTCAAATCTGCTCTCTTGTATCAGTTCTTTATGCCTGCTACGGTGGCACAAGGAAAGGCTTGTGGGGCACAGGGAGCTCAGAGCAGGCCTGCAGCTGCTGAGTGCTCTGACCTGGGTTTAGAACAGCCAGGGGCTGTGGTGCCCTCTGCCCCTGTGCCTGTGATGAGAGGGTCTTGCACCTTCCCTCTCACCTGGTGGGTGCTGGTTATAGGCAGTAGTGCAGAAAACCCCCCAAAACTGCAACAGTGAGACTCGATGCATGTTACTAGCTGGTACAGACTTTCCTCCTGAGTGACCTAAGATAGTCACTGCTTAGAAGGATATCTGAGTTTGAAACTTGTTAGAATAATTAGAACTCGTGTTTCCCGATTTTTGCTTTGGAAGGAATCCCGTTTCCTTATTTTTGCTTTGGATGCTTTCCTGACAGTGATATTCTGAAAATTGTATCAAGGAGATGCTCCAACTGTAGGTCTCAGAAAATGAAAAATAAGGTCAGAAATCCTCTATTCGTCTATTTTTCCTATACTCAAAGATCTTAAGAACTTTCCAAATATGAGCTATACAATGGAATCTGGAAAAAGTATTTTGCAAGTGCTTGGGAAACGTAGGCTGATTCTTCTTTGTGGAGGAGAACAATTATTTATGATTTCACCAGAAAAAAAATGAACCCTCCCAACATGCTGATTCACAAGCACACCCATCAATTCCTTGCTATAAGAAGATATAAAATGGAGATGCAAATCAGTTTCTGATTTCAAGCAAACGAATTTGTTCCAGATTGGAACTAGGAGAAAGACCAAACTTTGAGTGGTGACTGTCTCTGCTATAAGCAAAGCTTAGCCTGGTATCCAGCACGTGTCCTGTGCAGGTAGGCAGAATCCTGTACACCTCAGAGGTTTTTGTGAACAGTTGTAGGGCTGCACTCTACAAAGGATGCAAAGAGGTGCACACTCGTTTATTCACCTTGGAAAAACCTGGTCCTTCTTTCACCATGGTCTAAGGCAAAAGTCTCCCAGCATTTTGTGACAGAGTTTAAGAGGGCAGATGTGGAGTGAGACTCGCTTTAAATTTGTCTTTACGTTATTGTAGTTTGACAAAGTATTTCCACATTGAGAAAATCTTGGTGACTGTAACCTTAAGTCCTTCTAGGTTTTTCGTCATCCCTGCATAAGGCAGCACATTGCAATAGTTGAGTATGACCTGCTTGGTGTGTGGGTCTTTTAAGTGTGTTTGTCCTCTAACAGAAGAATAGATAGACGAGGATGCAAAAAGCCCCAAAACCAAACGACCCAAAACTTAGATGGTTTAACTCCCTTTCGACTCCAAAGCAAATACTGAATCAAAGTCCTAAGTAGAAATCAGTGTGACCTGTAACCTGGCAGATAACCAAAATGGGACAGTTAGAGGAAACTAGGACACTTGTTTTCTGTAAGTTAGTCAAAAAGCTTTTGTGCACTACAATGAGATCATCCTGTAAGTTCCCCCCACCCCACCCCCCTCACCCCCCATTTCTGATCCAGTAATTTTAGTCCAGGCCTGCAGAGATAAGCAGCTCCAATTCACTGCACCATTCACACACTGCCTTAGGGCTGAATTTTGACCCTGCTCAAAAGACAGGATGCTCCAGTGCTTCTGCTTCAGAGGCAGAAGCAGTTTCAGAGTGTAATTTGCTAAGTGCTTTGGGACTGACTCTTCAGGACGGAGCAGTACAATTAACATGTAGGCTGCTGTATTAACTGCAGGCATCTAATACTGATAACACTTGCTGTTGCTACCAGGTTCTTCTTTATTAGCTTCATCCATGTTTCTACTGTGCTCTTAATATTGCAGTGAGTTTTGCAATGTGCTAGATAAATGATTGGTCAAAGGAGCACAAATTAAAAATCAAAATACTGTAGGACATTACAGATGAAGGCAGATTTTTTTACAGTTCTCCATAGTCATTCCATATTTATATTAAATAATAAATACGGTTTTTGCTGACACAGCCAAAGCCACCTTAGGGGATTTTGATTCACAATGCCTGGTACCATAAACAGAAGTTATGTATCTCAAGCTACTAAGCTACTTGAGAAATCTCAGCAAAAGACTCCGATTAATGTTTAACATAAATGCGTAATGACTATTGAGAATTATCCACATTAGTAGGCAGTAGAGGAGACATAATGTAGACATAATTGGTAGTAGCTATCTAAAGAAAAATCGCTGAATTAAAATTCAAAGATATAGATGAACTGAGAAGAAGTTTTCAAGTCCCCTCCTGTTTTCGGTTTAACAGTTTTATGAATCTACTTCTGTAGAAACGGTCCAGCATGAGTCAAAGCTTTTTCAAGCCTGCTTTTTCAGCCTCGAGTTGTATATAATGCTCTAGCAAGTTAGGGAGTTTTACTTAAGCGCTTATTTCAAGGTAGCACACAATTGTCTCAAAAGTAAACATTAGTAACAAAGGTAGATAATGATTAAAATAAATCCATGAAGAGTATTTTCAGGTGAAATTAAACATTGCTTGTGGGCCCTCGGGCACCCAGGTAGTGGCAGCCCAGTGAGGGTTGGTGCCACGTGTGGCTGATTGCACACAGATCTCCCTGAAATGAGGTGGCCCATGGTTGGCTCCAAGCTGGCCATCTCTTATTTTGCAGTTCCCAGGCCGTCCATGGGGTCACACTGGTGATGCACAGTCCTGGTGTGTTTGCCTTGTGGACGTGCCATTTCAGAAATCTGTCCAAGAGCCAGAACCAGCAGGGATGGACATTGTTCATGTATCCATGGTATAGTTGCCATCTGCTAGTAATATTTATAATAGCAGAAACACGGAGAACAGAGGATCCCAATGATGTGTAGCCAACCATGCATTTATCTGTACACTCTGCAGAGTTCAGTCCATGGTGTGTCTGTAGTTTCACATGCCTCTTCTCCAGCTCACAGCCATTACTGCTAAGACCATAATCCTGCTATTTATGCAAAACATACCTCTCCTTCAGGCTGTTCTGTCAAGTTAGTCTGTGCAGCCCTAAGCAGTTAGTTCTGCTGGGATACCTCATTCCAAGTACTTGTGATGCTAGGGAGTCCTTCCTCATAGTTTTAAAGATTAATTTTTTAAGAATTATCGTATCCTTATGCAGTCATGCTTGTCTGTTTATATTTTTATTCTGTCTTCCTTTCATTCTCCTTAGCACCAGATAGCTTTCTGAACCCATTAGACAATTTTGATAACTGGAAAACTAAATTGCTATCTAGAACTGCTTGCAGGTGGCAGACAGGTATCAGTCAGTCCTGCTGCTGAACAGCTGAATGGCTCCAGCATCTCTGGCTTGCTAGCTGGCCAAAGAGCAGGAGTGACCCTCAGGCCGTCCAGCTCGAACTTGGTGCAGGAGGAGCCCTGGCACTCAGTGCCTCCCAGTGAAGCTGCAGGTCAGTGACTGGGGAGCTGAGAGCACTGAGAGGTGTTTATGACCCTGGAAGCAGTTCAGGACATCAAAAGGGGCATTAGGATGTCGGGGGGGAGGACTGTAAGATGTCACCCTGTGAAAAACAGGCTTTCACTGCACTGCTCACAAATTGCTCCTTCCCAGAAGGTAGTAAAACACTGCTCTTGCTAAATAAAAGAATCAATTTGTTTTTTAGGAATCTGAAAATAGTTTTAAAATGTCATCATTTTAGTCAGTTCTCTGTTCTGATCTAATTTGAAAGAATTGAGTCTTCAGTGCACAAATTCACAAAATCAACATTTAGATCTCAAGAATCCATACGGAAGGGGTAGCAAGAAGATAACTTGGAAAAGTAAGTCTATTTCCTTTGATGTCTGGCCAGCTGGCTTTATCCAAAAGTTTGCGTTCTCTACTGTCTTCCACAAACTGCTAATTTGTCTGAAGTTCAGATATAATTTCAATTCTATTAAAGCAAGTTATTGGAAACACTACTCTTAAAAGAGAGAGAATTAAAATTTATCTCTCATTAGTGAAATACTGTTCAGTTATTTTTTCAGAAATTCTTACCTTTCTTTTTAAAAGAAGTTTAGGGAAAATCATTAAATATCTACCATATATTTTCCTCTTATTACAACTAAGCTATGAATAGTACCTGCCATGATTTTTACTAGATGGCAAAAAAAGACAATGATGTTTAAAGTGGTAAATGATGAAGTCATCAGAAGAGGTGGCTGGGCATCTTTAGAGAGTTATTACATTTTACACTGATGGGCCCCTTCTGTGGCTTCTGATTTTTTCAGTTACCCTGAAATTGCAATATTAAATAAATGTGATGAGAAGTATTCCTGGTTGGTTTAGTTTATGTTCAATAATGAGCTTTAAATGCAATTATCTCTGAATTTTCTTATCATTTCCCTAAGATTATTTTCGAGGTTTATTTTTATCCTTAAGTGAAAATTTCTGCTTTGAAAACATTTTTCACTGCAGAGAGGCAATAATGTGCTTACCTACTAATATGTTGATAAAGCCTAATCCTTAGCTATGTGAAAATAATTAGTTTAGGGTAGGTAGCAGTAATTTCTCTCTATTCATTGAGTTGTACAGTATCTAATATATGCACGTAACTTTGCAAGTAGAGTTTATGTGTCTTTTTACATGTCACGACACATCATGGCACGACAGTCTAAGCCCTTACTCCAAAACATGCATTTTTCACCAGCAATCTCAATAGCAGAAATTCAACACTAACTTTCTGTTAAGACAGAAAAAGTCAAGCTTACATAAGAGCAAGCAGCAATCCATCTACAAATGCAACTTCACATAATACTGGCATTTTGCTGAAATTCAGAATCAGATGCCATCTTTTTTGGGTGAAGTGATCTGCCAAATCTAAATTGGATTGCAGTTTTGCAAAAGTGCAGACTTTTTACTAGTCTTCACCATAGTTGTCTCTCCATCTTTTTCCTCTATTAATTAGCTTTTGTTGTGAAGAAATAAAAGTATTTCATTATCTGGGGCGTATGTACTATTCCTGTGAAAGATGTACATAGCTGAGATAGAGGGAACTAGCAACAATTACTCTTGTTAGATTGAGAGGAGCAGTTAGGAGAAATAAGTATATTTTGTCCCATCCCCACAAAAATAGTTCAATGGAAATCCTCCCTCAGAGTTCAATTGGCTTTGAATTCAGTCATAAGCACTAAAAATAACAAGCTTTTTCAAGAGCAGAGAAACTAGTGAAGCTTTGTGTCCTGTGCCCCAAGCACTGTATCTTTGCAATAATCCCAGCTCCACATTTGATATCCCTTGTTCCCGTCTCCCATTGCAACACCTACATTTTACCTCTACTCTCCTTTTCTCCCAAGATCTTTCATAATGACCCTGCAAGTCTCCTCCATATCTCTTAGTTGTCAGAGAGGAGGGGGGCTGGTCTTGCTGAGGCTGTTTTTGAGCTACATGCATATTGAGTGGCCCAGTCAGCGAGCCAGAGGGAATAGATGACTGCTAACCTCACATTTTTACTTAATGAGGCACTAATTTAGATTGTGCTCCCCTTGTCTAGTCACAGCTTCTCATGAAACTTGTAGGAATGAAATGAAGTTTGATCTCCCTGCTTCTTTGTCAGATGCAGTGGAAAATGAAAATGGGTTCCTATGATGATGCGGTGTAGCAGGCAGACAGCATGATGCATATCTCTTTCTTATGAAAAAGAAAAGAAGATAAAATAGATGAGAAAAGTCGAAAATAGTATTCTAGGTGTACTGGATTTTCATGCTTTATACTAGGATTTTATCAAAGCCTTCGTTGTGGTTGCTGCATTTAAAGAAAGTCTCTAAGTTCTGTCTTCTGTTACCATTTGTTAGGCTGCTACTTGTGAATATTCACTTTTAAATGGTGAATCCCTTCAATTACAATTGATAAAAAAGTGTACAGTTTTTTTCTGGAATGGTCCAGCCTGAAAATATATCTAATGTTTCTGTAATCAGTTTGCATCTGCTGGATTAACTTTTTTCCTTGTCTGCCCCAGTTGCTCACTAGAGGTTGTGGTCGTAGCATAAAAAACAATTAATTTGGACTTTAGATCATGGAGATGAAAAATAGGCAAAATTTGTGGCTATGTCTCCACCTGCAGCGAGGGGAGATCCTTGGTGGCCTTGGGCTCTGCAGTGTGGAGCTTGCTGAGGGTTGCAGCAGTGCCAACTGCCCTCAGGCCATAAGAAACCTCAACGAGGTATTTTCATGGGCTTTGGTTTTTCAGGGACTCACACCTGTGCTGCCTCCTTACTCCCATGTCCTGAGAGGCTTTGCAATCCTTTCCTTTTTCAGCAGAAGCATACAAACTGTAAAGGGAACAAGCACAGGACTGGGGGTCCCCGGGTCTGTGAGGGATTACATGGCTGAGAGCAGCTTGTTCTGAGCTAGGTCTGGTGTCACTAAAACTTCCAGATGCTTCACAGGGGTGTCAGTGAGGGCTCGTTAGTGGAAACCTTATGCAGGTAAAACCAGGCTGAGGTGCCTTTGTCTTTCTTTGTATGAATCCTATTCTGTTAGGTAAGGCAAACACATATGCTGCAAGCATTCTGCAAGGAAAGCTGTTCAGAGAGATACTCTGAGCTTCTGTCTTTATTTTCTGATTTATTTCCCTGGGGATTGATAGTAAATAAACACAGATTCTTTTTATTTATTTATTTATCTCTGGATGACTGTCTCCCAGCGAGTTCAGGTTGCTGTGTAAGCTGTTCCTGCCTGCTGGCAGGGTGCATGAGGAGGCAGAGTACAGTTCCTGGTGGGGCCATGTGCCCTGTCACAGCTGGAGCATTTGCTGGTGATCTCAGCAGAGGCTGAATCATGAATAAGTGCCTAGTGTGAGCTGTCTTAAGAGATCCTCATTGCTGCAGGTGAAGCATGCTTATGGATAATCTCCCGTGTCTATTCTTTAGGTAAGCTAAGGCATTAATAAGCAGGGGATTCTCCTAAGCATCTTTAAATGAAAATCAAACAGATTTAAAAATGCAAATTGTCAGTTGTGCTGTGAGCAGCTTCCTAGGTCTGAGCCATGGATAAAATAAAAAATAGTTTGGAATAAAAACAAATCTGGCCCAAAAGATATGGAATGAGGCCCACTACACATTGCTGTTATTTGCATACTACAAGGGAGAACTAATTTATGCAAAAGAGAGAGGAGGAGTGAAGAACTGTGTTTTCTGTACAGCAGTATGTTTTTCAGATACCCCAGTGATACCCCAGTGGGATTTTTGAATGTAGTGGGAGTTTGTTATCCTCAAATAAGGTCACAGTTCATCCTTTGTTCTGGCAATAAATTACAGAAACTTTGAAAATCAGAAGCTGTTTGGCATTTAAAAATTGAACAGCACCTTCAGGCATACTTGAAGGTGCATCCCCAGGCAAACCTGTGCTTCTCATGCAGCTCCCCAGCCAGCTGATGTAGATCCTAAGGAATCTAAGCTAACCTGGGGAAAACCAGGAAGTTTTTGCCAGTGCTGTGAGCTGACCTTGCTCCCTGTCACGGATGGAGCCATGCCAGCACTGGAGAGGTGGTGGGGCTGGTGTGGGAAGGGGCAGCACAGGGGACAGGGATCTACCTGTGCATAATGGACAAAGATCAAAGGGCTCAGGTGTTCCCCGATCCTGCATCCCAGGGTTTTACCTCCATGGCATGGGTCCATCTTTGGGTCCTCCTCCAGGGAGACCTATTTATGAGTTTGTAGTAATGATGAAATAAATGGCTGTAGCTCCCTGTGCTATTCAGGAACAGCAGGAGAGGACAGAGCCATCACAAAGTTCCCTTGAGACCGAAGCTCCTTGAAACTAGCCTGACTTTTGACACGTTTCCTTTTGTTTGCATAAAACAGCTTTTCACAAACGCCAACACCATCAGTAAAAGAGGAGGCCAATGATAACATCACTATATTCACCAGGATCCTGGACGGTCTGCTGGACGGCTACGACAACAGGCTGCGCCCGGGACTGGGAGGTAGGATAACGCCTTGGCTCGGCTGCTCCCTGCTGGGCAGGACCATCGGACACCCGGTGCCCTCTCCAGTGGGTGCCTGCTCTTGGCCAGGACAAGGGACCTGTGTTTGGTTAGCTAAACTAAGTCCAGAAAGCAGATCTGTCTCCTAGGAAGTGGGGCACAAGAAAAAGATGACTGAAAGTCGTGTTCTTTCAGTCACTCAGGTCATCTGAGGTTGGCTTAGGAGAGCAGCTATGATACATTTTTTTCTGTAATTGAATAGAGTTTGGGTTTTACTTTCTGGTACTTCCTAAGGTGAGCAAGACATGAGGCTAGCAGGTTGCTGCAAGATTCCCTTACTGGTCAGCCTGTATAAAATTATGATGGTAATACATATTTATTTTAAAAACAGATCCCCAAACCATATTTAGACAAGTACAGAAAATCTGTATTGATATGTCTTTTTGATAACCTCTACAGCAGCTATTTTAAAACCGTAGCATGTGAATAGTGGTTGCCATCCTAACCTTGTTGAGCCCTCCTTCAGCTCTCTTTCCCCCAGATTTCTCTCATTTTCTACCATGTGTAAACCATCTGTTATGTTTCTTCCTGGCCCTTTTTTAATCTGGCTACCCCCACCCCTTCCTCTTGTGAGACCAACACATTGCTTTCATCCCTTTCTCTCCTTTTCCTCTCACTTTACACAGAGATGCTTGAAAATAGGGCTCGATGCTTTTTATCTTATATAACGAACTTCTGAAATTTCTGCCCTTAAATTAAATGAGACCTGAATTTGAAAGGATGCCAGAAGTACTTAGACACTTGAGGGTAGAAATAAATTGACCTATCTTTGGACATCTCTGATAGATGTCTGAAATCAGGCAGATCACCCAAGCCAGCAGAGGGGAATAGGTCCTTCCAAGATATACTTCATCTCACCCTGTGGTAGGTATTGTGTAAGTACTGGCAATGTGCATTGACAGCCCAGAAAGCCTTGATGCATCCTGGGATGCATCAAAAGAAGAGTGGCCAGCAAGTTGAGGGAGGAGATTCTTCTCCTCTGCTTTTGTGAGTACTGTGTCCAGCTCTGGAATCCAGCATAAGAAGGACATGAACCTGTTGGAGCGAGTCCAGAGGAGGCTACCAAGATGATGAGAAGGCTGGAGTATCTCTCGGGAATTGGGGTTCTTCAGCCTGGAGAAGAAAAAGCTCTGGGGAGACCTTGTAGAAACCTTCCATTGCCTAAAGGTGCTTAGAAGAAAGATGGGGAGGGACCCTTTATTAGGGAGTGCAGTGACAGAATGAGGAGTAATGGTTTTAAACTGGAGAAGGGTAGATTTAGATTAGGTATTAGGAAGAAATTTTTTACCTTGAGGGTGGTGAGGCACTGGAACAGGTTTCCCAGAGAAGCTGCAGATATCCCATCCCTAGAAGTGCCAGGTTGGATGGGGCTCTGAGCAACATGATCTAGTCAAGGATGTCCCTGCCTATGGCAGGGGGTTGAAACTAGATGACCTTTAAAGTCCCTTCCAGCCCAAACCATTCTGTGTTTCTATGATAAAAACAGTCAGAGGAAATGCATCCTTGAAGGGCCAGTTTCTTTCTGATTGTAAGAACAAAGCCTGGACTCCCAAAGGTCAACAATTGCATTTGATCCACGATGAAATGCCTCCTCAAGCATGCTCTTAATTTCAATCTTTTGGGGGATTCTTGAGTGATTCGGGAGTTAACATAAAAAAATCATTGCCAGTAGGTGTTTGCATTTTAAAGCAATTACTAATGCGAAGCCTATGTTTATTACAGAGAGAATAACTCAGGTGAAAACAGACATCTATGTTACCAGTTTTGGCCCTGTGTCAGACACAGAAATGGTAAGTTAGCATGTGGCTGCCAACTCGGTTGTATTTACTTTGCTAAAGTCATTTTTGGAACCATCGCTTCTATTCAAATCCTGCAATACCTCGAGTGTTTCTTTGTGCCAGGAATACACCATTGACGTTTTTTTCCGACAAAGCTGGAAAGATGAAAGGCTTCGATTCAAAGGACCTATGCAACGCCTCCCTCTTAACAACTTGCTTGCCAGCAAGATTTGGACCCCAGACACTTTTTTCCACAATGGCAAGAAGTCTATTGCTCACAACATGACAACCCCAAACAAACTTCTGCGCCTGGAGGATGATGGCACTCTGCTGTATACCATGAGGTAATAGCCAGGGTTGATTTCTTCTGATGCTGATTCCCAGATAACTGCAATTACTTGCAGGGAGCATCACTTTTTCCACTCCTAGTAGAGCCAGGGAACCAATCTTTCACACACATTTGTGTGAATATAAAGAAAAATGGAAAATATAATTGTGGCCTTCAAGTACAAATTAATTTGTAGCTTCTGAATAGTGCTAGTGCTTAACTATTTCTTTTGATTAAATGGAGAGCATATTCTCAACAGATTTGATGATTCAGTTCAGTTTTTTTATGATGATCTGTTCTTTCTTACTGTTTGTGTTTGCAGCTGTAGTGCAGACTGCAGGAGAACAGTATCTGAGACCAGAAACAGAGATTTTTTTTCTGGGGCAGTACATCTTGAGCCCTTGGAGCTTTTGTTATGGTTTTTTTATTAATTTGACTAATAGTGCTAAAAGGCAAATGGTCATAGGGACAAATGACATAAGCTAGCAGCACTGTAAAGCTGCTTTAGCAAGTTCAATCCTGCAAACAAAGCTGGGACATTATATTACAGAGAAGCAAATGGATGTCTCAGATCTTCAGAGTTATACTCCTCTTCTGATTTGAGTATCCTGCCAAGAATCGTCATTGCATAATGTAGACAGAAGATATAACATCAATTATTTTACGTGTCTGAAACAATTTCAGGAGAAATCCCACATCAGTGTATGGCAATTTGCTCATTAAAGGTCATTGGTCTGTAGTAATTGAGACTGCTGTCTATCTCCAGCAGGATTTTCTCCAGGCCCATAGTCATATGGGCAACTTGAAAAAGAGATAAAAGGAGAAACCTACCGAACAGCAAAGGGTTATTCTGAACTTTCCATGAACAAGCTCAGAGTGGTGCCCGAGACCCAGCAGAGTGCTCAGGAGCCTGAAGCTGGGTGCTGAGATGACTGGGTTTTCAGCAGGCACCCCCCAGCCAGTGCTGTGTCCTGCTGTGACACCACACAGTCCTGCACGCTGGGAGGGCGAGCCCCAAGCTCGCCCGTGGGCCCAGTGGTTAGGGCTTGGTGAGGCTCGAGAGGGTTATTCTTCTGTACACAGGGACCTGGAGCTTCCCAGGTTTTATTTCAGGTGTTTCAGACATGTTTGACTTTTTTGAGCCTAGTCTTAAATCCCTTTTTCTGGAAAGAAAAGAAGATAAAGGGTATCCTTACGTATGTCCTTACAGCTTCAGATCATCCCAATTGTAACTGCATTAGCACTAAAAAGACTTAGACGTGATGGATGTTTAAAAGAAGGAAAAACCATCCTAATTTTCTCTTTACTTATGTTTCTGTTCTTACTAGCCCCAAATTAGTGATCACCACAGTAATAAACCAAAAAATTTGAAGATGTATGGACACACTTAAAAGTCCAAATAGCTATCAGAGAAACCTCACAAAAAAAGTTAGTAATGCCAGCCTTAAAACCAGTCTCACTGCTGCATGGACTGTGCAAGTATCACTCCAGATACTGCAGCAGTGGCAATTCCCAATTATCTGTGTAAATTACTTGTGTAAGTGAAGTCAAGATCAGACTCACATTCAGCCTGGAGCGAAACACTTCGTTGTGGGGAAGATTGCGCAATTTCCGTGCAAATACTGTTTTTTTGCAGTGTTAAACAAATGCAGTGATGCCCTGATTTATGAGGTGAGGAGCCAAGCCACCACAGCTAGCTGAGTGAGACCTGGGTGAACTAGACCTAGGCAAGCTCATCACTGAATCTGAGTTACTCCGTCAGGGTGTCTCTCTGGTGAAAATGGCACAGTATTGTCAGATGCCACAGGTACCCTGCTGAGGAAAAGCTCAGCATATGCAGCTGGAGGAAAATATGGATATGACACAGACTTTCTCATCATCCCACTCAGCTCCTTTTCCCCTGATTTTTTGGGATGGATGATTTTGTAGATTACAGAAAGAACAGAATGCTTTTGTAACCTAAAAAGCATGCAATGTAACTTTTTTTTTGTTAGAATATTGTCTGTGGAAATAAAATTTCTGTTAACCATGGTATATGTCGTAAGAAATAGAGTGCAAAGCTTTTAAATAAGCTTGCTTTCCACTGTTGCAAGTAATAACTTGAAAGTGTTTATGCCCTTCTGCTTAAACATGAGTCAGGAGTCCGCTTTTGTAACATGCACGGAGCTATGTTCCTTCAGATGCAGAGCCATTCTGTGCTGCAGGGTGGCTTGAGGATCCCATCCCAACCTGTTCAGAGGTGACTGTGACAAGCAGCCAGCCCCTTCAGCTTCCTTGAGTGTCCTAACAAAGGTAACAGCTAGCAGAGTTACCTAGGATGGCTTTCCCTGAGAAGACAGACAGTGCTGGGCTTTTTTGAGGGGGAGCTGCTTGTCTCAGTGGTGGTGCTTTGTGAAGCACTGAGTTTCAGCTGAGGCTTGAGCTCCAGTTCCTGTAGCTCCCATCAGGCTTACTCAGTTCTCAGGATCTGGGGATGTGTAGACAACCCTCTGTTAGCTCTGCATTCTCCTCGTTTCCAAGGAGGAATTGCGAGCTTCCCAGACTGTACGTAGGAGTATTCTGTGTGGGGAGGATTGGACCCTCTGTCATTGACAGAGATGCTTGAATTGCTTTTGCTACCTTGCATCTGGCTGCCTGAATGAAGGGGAGGAAAGCAGCCAAACCAATGCTGACCTTCCATCCTATTTCACTTCCAAATATTCTAAATATGATCGGCTGAGCAGACTTCCAGCTTTAGCACTTGTCAGGACATACGTTTCCATGACACACGTGTTTACTTACAAAGAAAAATGTACACCTCTGCTATTGCATTTGATGCTACGTTGTCTGGGTCAGAAGTTGATGGGATGTGTGTTGCTAGGGAAATCTGATACATGGGCTTCTGTATATGTGTGGCATTAAAGCCCTTCTGTGTGAATATAGGAATACAACATGTCCTCTAGACAGATTTCACAGACAGCAGTGTTCTCTGTGGGGTATGGCTTAATAATTCTGGTTGTCTTTCACTTGGAAGGACCTATTAGCTTTATTTCACTAATGTGATTTACAAATGAAGCGCTCCTGAATGGAACGCTGCAAATTCTGTTTCTGCCCCTAGAGGGGAGTATTGTCTGTAGCTCCACTTCTAAATGTTTTTACCTTTTTTTTTTTTTTAAGTAAGAACACTGGTATAAAAAGCACTAGAAAGCATACTCCATATTTCACTAATATATATATAAAATAGCTTTGTGAATGGAGGTACAAATTAGGTTATTTCCTTTTAAACCAGTAAAACATATTTAGTTTATCTAATCTGAGAAATAAATATTGTAAAAAGTATAGAAATCGTTTATTCTGAAAAACTGGAACAGTGATTTAAGCAGCATTTTCAGGCTAAGAAAAGAACCATCATGTTTCAGTGAGCTGCTTTTTTTTTTTTTTTTTTTTGCTCAGTGAGAATTGGCTGTAAAGACAGAAGCTTTGATAAACTTTGCTGTAGAATGCCAGAAAAAAATGCTGTGAAGGAGTCAAAAATGGTATGAAGTAGAGCATGCTCACTAGAGCTAAACTTTCGGACCATAAATTAACTTCTCACCAGCAGCTTTTATGCATTTTAAATGGTTTTCTGTCAGCTTGTAGATAGTGAAAAGTCTTTCTTGTGCCATCACAAGGACACTCCTTAGAGCCTCATTCTCACTGTCAATTTGAAAGGACCCCAAATCTCTTTTTTTACCACTGGGGCTTCCACGCATCTGATTTAATCTGGGATTTTAAATAAACATAGTCATGTATCTGAGGAGTGCACAAACAGATTTTTCCCACGTTATTATGGTAACTGAAGGTTGCCAGAGAACCTGTGTGAGTTTACAGTAAAATCTGTCCCAATAATTTGCATATGAATAATTTTCCAGTTGTAGAATGCAGACATTTTTTCAGCATGGTGTTAAAAGAACTCCAGATTTTTTAGTACAGCCCTGAAGTGCTGTTATCTTTACTGCTCCGAAAAGGTATGTACAGCTCAGCAATGTGTGTCCGCTGGATGGCAGCGTAACCCCGCTGCTTGCTCCGCTGTGGTGCACACGCACGCTTGCCTCAGCTGAAAATACTCATTGCTGCATTAACACTTAGCGTTTAAATTCTATGTGCAAGTGAACACATGTCCTGGGTGCTTGTTAGCGCAAATTCTGCTCCTCCATAAAGGGCTTGGATTAGCAACCTAACCATTTTATGCTCTAGAGCTATTGATCATAAAACCAGTTGATACAGTGCTTTCAACACTTTCAATGGGAAAGCCAGAGTTTGTTTGTTTCTTTCTTTTTTGTTTGTTTGTTTGTTTGTTTTAAGAGAAAATTATTCCATGAGAAATGTGTGGGTTCTCAAGCTCGGACTTTGCCAGATGTAGGTTTGCTAGAGTGGCCCTGAGTGACAAGTGACCAGCAAATCTGTTATTTAAAATGAATCCTCATTTTTCCATCAGCTAGATATCTAGATGGGAACGTCTCTGTACAATCTGAATGTGTTTTTTCTTATTTCTTATTTACATCTACAAAAAAAGATCTGTAAGTGCTTTTTAGGTATCGTATAAATATTGCAAAACTAATTAAGAAGCTATGAAGACATACAAATACGCATTTCCTTTCACTGTGTTAGATTTGCTGCATTTTCTTGTATATTCAAGCTTCAAACTGCCTGCAGCTGGAAGAAAAAAAAGTAATTTTTTTACATTGGGCTGCGTCTTAAAGAGTGATGAAATCCTGCCGTGGTGGCAAGGACTCTGAGCTGCTTTTCGTCAATTCAGATTTTGACAGAGTGAGAGAAAATAGATATGTGAAGGACTCTTCCCTGAGGATAGAGCAGGATTCTTGTTTAAACACCAAATCTCCTGGTCCCCTCCTCTCTGTTTTGGTTGCACATTGCCCCACTTCTCAAAAGTTGTCCTTCAAGGAACCAAGATTTGTTGTTTTGAAAAATCCATAGCTGGAGTTACTACCAGGGAGAGAAAGGCATCAGGGGAGACTGTGGTGTAATACATTCAAA